GTCATGAACATTTCCTGAAAGTCTCTAATATAAATCTGTTTGGTGCTTTTTGAGATATGAGCATGAGAAGACAACGGGGTAGTTGTGCTGTGGTAATGCTGCAGATTAAGCACCCTGGATGGTGAGAGTGTGGGTCTGGTCCAGGCCATTCTTCAATGTTTACTGTCTTTCCTGGACAACAGATGGGAGGGCGGAGGAGGCTAACCTCTGATGCAGGGCTTTGTTGTCTGTAAAATATGAAAAGAAAAGAAAATTCAGCTCAGATTTTGATGAACCTCTCAGGTAAATTCTATCACTTAGAGCTACCGCTGACGAGCCTGACCACACAGCTAGTTTAATAATTGGATTTTGCTTTTTTAAGGTTAAATATATACCCCTCTCTCATCATCAAAAAAAAGCAAACACACACAAAAGTTTCAGAAAATGTTTATCGCACCACAGAGATCAGTTGATTAAAGTTGGAAACATGTCCAAGCAGACTCGGACAACTTCGCTGCCTGTTAGCAACTGTTAGCAATGTCTGGAGTGACCGCCTGCTACAGCCTGGATCTACATCTCATAGACTGAGCACTTCCCCCTGGACAAGGTTGGACAGTGAGCCCGGCCGATTGCTTGAGCTCCACATCCCAGGGGTGGAGCTAAACCCATAGCACCTAGATCAGGGGTGGAGCTAAACCCATAGCACCTAGACCAGGGGTGGAGCTAAACCCATAGCACCTAGATCAGGGGTGGAGCTAAACCCATAGCACCTAGACCAGGGGTGGAGCTAAACCCATAGCACCTAGATCAGGGGGGTCACATTCATTTTCACTGAGGGCCACATGAGAGTGATGGTGGCCCTCGAAGGGCCAGTTGTAATGAACTTTGATGTTTCATGTTTAACTTTGACTAAACAGTTTTAACACGTCCTCTTTTAAACACTAATAAGAACTAAGTGTACGACTGACTAAATCTGTAATAAATACAGAAATATTATTAAAGTAAAACAAATAAAGTTTTACTCACTGATGAGTTTCCAGTGAGGAGCTGCATTATGTCAGATTTACTTTATGTTTGATGGTGACTAAGCAGTTTATTTTCAGACATTAGTACTGTGATATACAACTAAACTGCTCAGTTACTTCAAGCCAACAGCTCAGGGAAAGGATGTTTTTTATTTATTTTTATTAAATTAATTTTGTTGCATTTAATTATAAATTTAGAGTTTACAGTTGATATAAGAAACAATTTTCATGTTAAGTAAAAAAAACTAATATTTCCCCCCGGCGGGCCACACAGGAGTCACCCATGGGGCACATTTGGCCCGCGGGCCTTGTATTTGACACATGTGTAATAAACAGTTCATTGAAACTATTCACTAAAAAAACAAATCAAACTGACAAAAAAAGTTTCATCTTGAGAAAATTCCCAAGGATTACTTTTTAATAAAACCAGCAGCCGACCTTCATTAATACCAGAAACATCCACGTCATAATTCTGCTGACTGTGTGGGGTCACCTCAGGTCAGCGTCGTGACAAACTGCAGTCAGACCATCCAAACAGGTCCAGGACACCAGTGTTGGTGGTCTGCATAAAAACCTTTTCAGTGAGCATTGAGGTTGTACATATGTATTTATTGAGACTTTACACATGTATTTAATGAGGTTGTACACATGTATTTAATGAGGTTGTACACATATATTTAATGAGGTCATACATGTGTACTTAATGAGGTTGTACAGATGTATTTAGTGCAATCTGAATGAAATCTGATATCTGAAAATGAAGTGAAAAATGGGGTCTGAACAGGGACAACATKGTCTGAGCATACTCTCTTCCTGATTGTGTTTCTGTCTTAACACAGCTTAAATCTTTACGTCAAAAGGATTCATCCCAACACACATTTCTGTTTTTTATTTACTTTTACACTGCTGTCAGCTTTACACTGCATTGCTATTTTGACAAAAATATGAAATTCCTATCAAAGTATTGCAGCTCATTATTGCCACTATTTGTGCTTTTAGACAACCTCAGAATTGTACAGAAAGAACTGTGTACTGTGTACTATGTACTGTGACACAGACAACAATGAGCAAAGTTTCTAAAACAGCACTCACATGAACCACTGATAAATTTTGTGGTCTGGACTTGTTTTAAGCCTGGAGGCGATCCACTTTGATCTGTGCTGTGTTTGGACCATCAGCATCAATTCCAACTGGAGAACATACAGAAACCCACAGGGTCCCCACAGGATATGGCCCAAGTACAAATATTTGTTTATTTAGCCTCAATTATTTAGTTTACTCTCCATATAAATGGACAGGACTTTGCCATTATTAATGAGTAATACAACAATGATCATTTCTTTCAGGAGATTTGTTTTTATGTAGTGTAATTTTGTTGCTGTCTGTTCAGATATTAGTTATTCTAGTATGTTTAGTATATGTTCTTCCCCTGCATGTGTGTTTCCTCCTACAGAACAAAAACATGCATGTTAAGTTCATTGGTAATTAGTGTCCTTAATGGCTGTTTGTGTGTCCCTGTGATGGACTTGAGACCTGTCAGTAGGCATTTTTGCATTGTAACGTAACATGACATAACACCGGGGGTCGGCTGTGGTCCAATGGTTAGGGGCATCGTCCTAGGTGCTGTGTAAGTTGAAGCCATGTATCATTTGTAAGGCTCAGCCCAGCAGCCTCCAGTGGGCCTGGGGTAACTCTACCTTGGCCCTGGTTGTGTTTGCATTGAGCAGAAAGCTGCCTTGATGTGGGTGGGATCATCATATTAAACATGCACAATCTAATTTCATTTGATTTACCACAACAATGGACTACACCAAACTTGCTTGGTAGCTCGCTGCTGTTGTTATAAAGTTAAACTCGTGTGTTTGACAAAAGTCCACAGTCAACAAACCAATCACTAGCTGTGTTTCCATTACAAATGTGCGCAAAACTTTGTCGACATTCTGTTAATGTCGAAAACACAGTTTCACAATTGCGGTATTTTCATTAAGTAAGAAATGCTATTAAAGTCACGTGAATACGTTTGTTCTCATGATAAGTCATTACAAACATGGCAGCGATGGATGTAAACACATAGCATGTTGCTACCACGACACTAGCGCTCATCATCAGAGGAGACGTCGGCGTCTTTTATCGAGGCTTTCCAGAGACAAGTCCCTACTTGGGAGCGGCTACGTATGCTGTGTTTTTGGGAAATTGTAGTCGCTGAGTTTACTATTTTATACTACTTCTGTGATATTACTACTACTTCTACTTCCTGTTATCTTCTTCATCATCRTCTTTTTCACCAGTAGAAACAGTCGGTTGTTGATCACGTGACTCCTGTGATGTGAAAAAAGTGTTTCCATTGCAGTTTTGTGAAAAACATCAATTTCGATACGACCAAAAAACCACCTCATCCTAGCACAAAAACATTTTGTTGAAAAACATAATTTTCTTCAAAACTGACATGTTTCCATTGAGCAAATTTATTTTTGAAATTCTAATTTGAGCATGAGGTGAAAACCACGTCTTCTGGTTGAAGGGGAACTGCTGTTGCTCAATGAAGAGAGAAACTCTGAAACAGGCTGGTTGAACAGCAAGAATCATTATTTTTGCAGTCCAGGAGATTATAGCCAAAAACCAAATTGTGGCCTTCAATGCCAAATGATTCACCAAGTAAGAAGATGAAGACGAAGGCCAAGAGCAGGGGCGTACAAGGCTCTTTATAGGCTTTCACAGATGTACCATAAATCTTGTCACGGTATACCTTCTTCCTAATATGGTAATACTGTATATGCCGAGTTCTGAAGCTGGAAACTAAGAGGCATCACATCTGTGCATTCCTGAGAAAAGGCCCCCCACTCTTGGACACTWCAAGCATTTTCATGGTCAATGGAAACACAGCTAATGAGCAACAGTAGTTGATGTCAAATCAGGACGAGCAGCACTTCTTGCGGTTCTAGAAATCAGGGTGGACCCAGGCCATGCAAACACACTGAAGCCAGGTTTGAAGCCAGGCTGGCTCGGGCTGAGCCGGGCCTTGCAGTGCAAAAAGGCTTTGTGTCCCCATGAAGTGCTAGAGACATGTGTCCCCTGCTTCTTACCCAAAAACCACTGGAAATAAGAACCAACTTCTCTGCAAGTCTGCACAGAACAGAGGGTAAAAACAATGGATGGATGAATACTTCAGATAGATTCTTATATCTCTGATTAGTGTTCCATTTGTTTTGTGTTTCTTTTTTTTAATTGAGGCAGAAGACTGGAGCGTCACATAAAAAAAAWTGTCCCTTCCTGCATCTAAGGACTCATTAGGTCCAGTGAATGCAACCAGGTCTGTTTGGATGGATGGATATTTGTCATCCTCGTGTCCCCTTCATGTCACACACACTGCTGGAGACACCAGCTCCCTGGGGCRTGGAAAAGAAACATGGATAAAGAAGATAGATGTTGTTTTCATCTAATGATAGTTTTTTATGCTCAAATTAAAGTTTATGTACCATGAAAGTGTGTATAGAGGTAGGCTCTGAGCCTCTGGTTCCAAACATACAACATGGCAGGCCCAACAAACTGGGTCCTGCTGGCTTCAAATGTCAACAACACGAGAAGGCAAGAACATTTGATCTACTGTTCTGATACATGTTGCTGGTTCAGACTGGTCATTTTCACATTTCCCCTCTTCACAATGGTTGAAATATCCCTTTAAAGTAACGTGATTACCTGTAAGAGTTTAAACAGAATGCTAACGCTCCATCGTGTCAGCCGAGTCCATGTGATCTGTGTTGAGGAGAATCAGAACTTTTCTTTGGCCCGGTTCAGATTCACGTGAATAAAACAGGATTGTAAAAAAGCAGAAGCATCTGTGAACATGAAATGTGAATCTTGGCAATAAATAGATCTATATTTATCTACATTAAAGAGTTTATAAAATCAGCTCTCATATGAAGCCATAATAAATAAATAATTTATCTGAAATAAATACATATTTTACTTTTACACAGTAATACATGAAGATGCATGGCATCCATTTGGCTGAGTTCACCTGAACGTAGAAAAGATCAAACATGATGTCCCTGTTTGTGGAGGGGGGTGGGGTTGGAAAGAAGTGATGATGTCACCAGTGGGAGTGATGTCATATTTATCTGTTCTGTTAGCGTTCAAACATCAACAAATCCGTTAACTCTTTTCTTCTTTAGAACCTCTGAGCTTCAGTCGTTGGGTCTCTCCCACATCAAAACAAAACAGTTTTCACACCAGAAGTTTTTCTTTTATGAAGAACCATTATTTGCAGAGGCAGCTGTCGTTCCCTGATGCTCCTCCCCCTTCACTCGATGATTCTGACCTTTGCCCTGTGTTGTCCAGCCACTCCCTACAAACGGTCTGTGTCACTTCCTGTGCTCGGCGTGTGGCAGCGCCCTCTCAGCCCATGCACATGCAGCTGGCAGCAGACAGGGACTTGATGGTCCTCCATGTGGTCTGAGCGTCCATGAAGGAAACCGGCTCGTACCGGTCTGGCCGGCAGCAGGGCAGGCTGCTGACCTTGCGGGCGGTGCGGCGAGGCAGCGAGCCGTTTTCTAGCAACGCCTTAAGCGCCAGGTCGTAGTTGGTTCTGGAAGACTGGCAGGAGCCCACGCAGAACTTAAAAAGGACGGTCTCGTCTGAATCAAAGCCCAGACCCAGGTCTCGGACCCTCATCTCTTTCTTCTCCACACGGCAGTCTCTGCTGCTCTGCTTCGGGCGCCTGCTTTTACCTTTCCCCCTTCTGTCCCCATTTGCCGTTTCCTCCTCTTCTTCCTCCTCTTTCTTCTTCCTTTTCTTCTTTTTCTTCTGCGATCCTTTAGGTTGAGGTTGTGTGGGGTCAGAGGAGCGTGGGGAGCGCCCCACCCAGCGGACACTGTGATGGTCATCCATCTCATCCATTACAAACGGCTCTGAAAGGAAAGAAAATGAAAGGAGGTGGTGGCGAAGTAAAGACATGAAATACAGATAAATTATCAGAAGATTTTACAGTTTCTCACATAACTCTGACTCAGTATTAATGTGCTGTCTTTATCATCTGTATTCATCATGTTTTTCTAACTCAGCTTCAGCAGGTGTTGTGCTGTTGTTCATACCGTCTATCGCACAGCCCAGCCGGTTCGGATGTTATCAGTCCATTAAATGGATGTTATTAGTGGTTATCAGTCCCATAGAATGGCTTCAGACTGCCTCGACAGTGCCCCCTAGTGGGTAATCAGTGCCATATATGTTGAAATGCAACAATCTGCTACCGCCTGAGTCCGGTCTATTTTATTGTAGCCCATGTCATTTTCTCTCAAATTAATCTTAGTGGTTTTATGTCTCATATTAACCAGATTGTTTAAAAAACCTTAATGGTTTTATGCCTCATATTAACCAGATTGTATAAAAACCTTAATGGTTTTATGCCTCATATTAACCAGATTGTATAAAAACCTTAATGGTTTTATGTCTCATATTAACCAGATTGTATAAAAACCTTAATGGTTTTATGTCTCATATTAACCAGATTGTACAAAAACCTTAATGGTTTTATGTCTCATATTAACCAGATTGCATAAAACAATGGTTTTATGTTTCATATTAACCAGATTGTATAAAAAACCTTAATGGTTTTATGCCTCATATTAACCAGATTGTATAAAAAACCTTAATGGTTTTATGCCTCATATTAACCAGATTGTATAAAAAACCTTAATGGTTTTATGTCTCATATTAACCAGATTGTATAAAAAACCTTAATGGTTTTATTCCTCATATTAACCAGATTGCATAAAAAACCTTAATGGTTTTATGTCTCATATTAACCAGATTGTATAAAAACCTTAATGGTTTTATGTCTCATATTAACCAGATAGCAGATTGGGACAGACTAGAAACATGTCTTGGTGTCCAAGTGATGCATTGGAGATCTGCTTAGGTGTCCGTGTGATGGACCAGAGACATCTCCAGGTGTCCTGTGATGGACTGGAGACCTGTTCAGATGTCCCAGTGACACATTGGAGACATGTCCAGGTGTCCTCCACCTCTCACACAGTGACTGGGGGACATACGGATCAGGTTGTGAGACACAGAAAGGAAAGAGGTGGCTAAAAAAAGGAAGCATTTTCCTTGTTGAAATATTTTGAGATCTTTGTAATTTCTCCCAAATTGTTGTGTTTGAAGTCTACTTCAGCAAACTGGCTCAGTTTTTGTCTTCTTATGCTACTTTTAGCAAAACTTTTGTTAGTTTTAATTTTCAGCTATTCTTTTGCCACCTGTTCTGGTACTTCAGTTAGCTTTTTGTTCTTTTTAGCCTTTAGCTATTGTTCTCCGTCTTTTAGCTTTAACACGAGTTTCATCTTTGTCAGCAGCTTTCATCAGTCCTTCAGCTCTCAGTGTTTCTGCTGCACCGTCTTCTAACTGAACGCCTGAATCTGGCTCTGAAATCGTTTCTGCTGACAGATCTTAGAGTGTCAGTACCATACAGAGCAGGCCACGTGGAGTATGGGTCCATCTCCTGCTTCTTGTCCTCCACCACCTCTGGCAGGGTCACAGGGAGCTCCTTCTCCTGGTCTCCTGGCAGCCCCGCAGTGTGGCCCGAGACCGATCCGGCACCCACCGTAGAACCACCGCCTCTCATATGAGCTCCGTCCACTAGAGGCAGCACAGAGACGAGGACCCACAGCAGCACCTGAGGAGGAGGACGAAGAAGACTTGAGCTAGGCCTACTTCAGGCTGAGCGTCAGCCTTCACTTAGTTAAATATCTCCTAAACCATGGAACAGATTTTGATCAAACTTTCAGGACATAATCACTGGATGAACATCTATAACAGGGCTTTTCAACTGGCAGCCCGCGGGCCAAATCCGGCCCGCRAGTGACCAAAGTGCGGCCCACCAATTGGTTCATTTATCTCTTAAGCACAAACCTCCAGTTTTCTACTTTAATTACGCTCAGTTCTTTTAGTTAAACATAGACAAGTTTGATATCTACAGAAATGTCAGAATCTTGACGACAAGCTGGTAAAAACCATTTCTTTAAACACTCAAGACAGTTAAAACTACAAGCAGTTGAAGATAAAATGATGAAAGTGAAAATAAAATTGGTTTAGTCAGAGATGTCTAAATATTATTTGTGTCAAATATAAGGCATAATGTGTTCTTTTTGTTTTTGACAATGTGTAATTATCACTACTTTTATAGGGTTCTATATGTTGTTTTCATGATTAAATGCAGCAAAATAAACTAATTCAAAGGTAACAGATCTTTGTAATACTTGGTTTATTTACATAACTTTAATTGCTGGTTGTTCGGCCCCTCAGCTGCTGACCGGCAGTAACTGTGGCCCCCGGAGCAGTTTAGCTGAATAGCCCTGATCTACAACTTCTAGAGCCAACCAAACTGAAAATACACCACAGCTAGTCAGTTTTAGTCAAATGTTTATAACTCAGTTTTATAGAGTAACTCATAAGTTGATCTGGAAGTATCTGACAGTCWTTCACAATGTTAAAGGTGAGATCAGGGGATTCTCCAACTTTAATTAAAACAGATGAAACTTTTCAAAGTAAGATGACTTTTTGTAAAACTGAAAGGTGGTGAGAGACGCACATTTTTCTTCAAGGATTTGAATTTGTAATGTTGAGAGCTACATCTTTTATTTTGCAGTTTCAAGGTGAAGCAAAAACAAACTGGATTTAAGACCAACTTCTGTTTTATTTTCCGTTTTAAGATCTGGTTGCATTTTATTTTAAGAAAGCAGTTTGTTTCATGTGGTTTTCATTGTATGAGACAGACTTTTGAAATACAGACACTAACACGATGAGCTCATCTTTTCAACAAATTGTTTTTGTATGTTGTTTTTTCTCATGGTTGTGTGTTTTTAGTTGTTCTCTGAGTTTATTTTATTATACTGCATTTCTATTACTTGTGCTTCTGTTTTAGTTTAGCTTCATATCTTCTGTTGTTTCTGTATCTCATGTTTAGATCAATCCTTGAGATATCTTTGTTTGGGTGTTTCCAGTGTCGTACTCATTCTGCCCTCAGTGTTCTTCAGCCTACCACTCACATCACAGGTGCTGCCTCTTCTTCTTCTGTGGTGTTTAAYGGCAGCTTACATCCCATGCATTCCCACCACCTAAAGGTACTAGAGACTATGACTTCATAAATCCTCTTAAATAGACTCATTACTGCAGGAAAGACATAAAACAGAGTCCACATTTACTGGATCCTCAATCCAAACAGTCTTCAAACTGGGCTTGATACTTGTGTTTGGTCCAGAAGATATTTTCTTTCAGCTGAATATTTACTACATTTCATGATAACGTGACGTGCTGCCACTTCCTGCTCACCTCTGTTCAACCAGACTGCAGCAGATCATTGTACATGTTACTCAGATGTCTCTAATAAAGATGTCTAATAAAGAGTTTTATTTGTTATCCCAAACCTCCCTGAGTTGTCTGCATTTGGGTTCATCCACACCACAACTGTTAGACAGTTTTATTCAGTTTTTATTCCTTTTTACTGTACACCTTGTTGTTCAGAATTATCTTTGTCTGGACTTTATTACTGCTGAGTCAAACCTCCCAAAACAACAAAACAAACAAAAAAATAAATAAAAAATAAAAAATAAAAAAACTGTTTAG